CTGTGCATAAAAAGGGAAAATATTTTGTATCGTCATTTACGAGCAACCTTTTTGATTTTTTCTTTTTAGGTCACAATTTTTAAATATTAAAGTGCAACAATTTTAAGTAGTAGTTTATTGGAGGTTGATTTCACAAATGGTCATATAATTTTGACGTTTTTTCACTAAAGTCATATAATTTTGTTTTCTCACACAAAAGTTATATAACTATGACTTTTTTTTCCCTAAAGTCATATAACTTTGTTTTTCCCAAAAAAATCATATAACTATGATTTTTTTCACTAAAGTCATCACAAAAATCATATAACTATGATTTTTTTACCAAAATTATATAATTATATTTTCTCACACAAAAATCATAAAACTTTTACTAACTCACAAAAATCAGTGATCGAAAAATATAATTTTCACTAGTATTTTCTTATTTTGTTGATTTTTATTTTCTTATTTTCAGCCTAATAAATAATAATCAAATTAAAATATGAATGACTCAACCCGACCTGCCCCACCCGACCCAATACTCATATATATGAATTAAAGTAATACTAAAAGTGAATACTAAATCCTTCAAAACATGTTACTTCTATTGTTTATTTTTCTTTTTGAGATTTTAATTCAAATTTATAGCATATTTATTCAAGTGCTTTTTAATTATACATTTTTCAAATTTACTTCTATTGTTTATATATAATGCTCTTTTTCTCTTGGTCTACATGTATAATGCTCTTTGACCTGACATTTAAAGTGGTTTTTTTTTTTTGTTAAATCTGATTTGAATTTTTGTGGTTAGATAGTAAGGCATGAGGGAGAAGAGTGTAGGCCAGAAAGGAAAGACAATTTGATGCTCTTCACCGGAAACAAAAGTTAAATTTCTCTCATCTCTTTATTTCTCCATGTTTTGCATCTCCCCTTCCTCTTTTTCGCCTCAAGTGTTGCGTTCAGCTGGACTTTTTTGGGTTTATGATTGTGGAATGCATGTACCTCTATTGATTCAGATTTAACTTGGTCTGAATTTTTTGGTTTACTGCATTACGCCAATTTGCAATTCCATCCAAAATAACATGTTAGAGAATTCCAAATATCCAAGCTCCAATTTCAAATTTTGATGTAGCTCTGTAATTTTCAGAAAATAGATGAAAGATTTTGTACTTAGATTTGTTTGCGACTAAATACGGATAATTTCCTCGATATTAGATTCGGTTACAGTAGTTTTTATTTGTTTTCTCTCGCGTATGTTGATTTCATAGACCATAAGTAACAAGAGTTAACATGTGCAGAACTTTCAACACAATATTTGGTAGTTTGATTGTATAAAATATGTGCTCTCGACTTGAATAAATGGTGTTAATTAAGAAGAACTTAGATATGTGGCAAATGTTGTCTTTAAAGCCATGTCATTGCTTCGTCGTCTGATTTTTCGACGAGGAATAGATGTCCTCTGAGTTATGTATTGTTGCTTTTCCAGTCTTCTATTGGGTATTTATAGAAGATCAATTTTCATTCTTATGAGTAAGTTTTCATATTTTGTATGAATTTTTGTGGCATTAAAGTTAGAAGTCATACTATATAACTATAACCTCTATTCATTACTAATTTTCTCATCATACCTGTGTGATTGAAGTGCTATTCTTTTGGTTTCTATTATATCGAAGTTTGCTGAAAATTGTTGGTTAGATGTTAGAGAACAAGTGGTTTAGAAGTAAGGGTATTTGGTAGAGTTGCTTTTGATTTTCTGTTTTTAACTGAATTTATGTTTTTGTTTGTTTCTACTGGTTTTTGCCGCGTTATACACTCATTACTCATTTCAGTCATAAAATCATGGTGATTAATTCTACAGTAAAAGTGAAAAGTTTCACCATGGAATTGCCTTTTATTCCCTGTTGTTTTATGAGAAAATTGAAAGTAGTAAAAAAAAAACTACTATTATTTGGAGGAGGAAAAAACTGAAAGCAACCTGTTTCTGTTTTTTTTTTTTAAAGCTTATCAAATTTCCTAGATTTATCAGTCATAAAGTGGCCACGCTTCCTACAAGCTCTTCTTTTCTTCTATTACTTCTTTTTACCTTTTTGGTTAACTTTTCATGTAGAAGAAATGAAGCATTGTGCAAATTGTTTGAGAATCTTATTTTGAATGACACTACTGAAAAATAAAGAAACATCTGGTTCATTTTGAGAAAATTGTTAAAGAAATGCCCTGGTTGTTGCTTATTCCAGTGGGATGTTGGATTGAGGAGCAGATTTGCTATTTATTTGCTATACAATAATCAATGACCAGCTGGTAGAGTTTCAAATTAATCTTTTATCTTAATGATACAGTTGTACAATAACTTTATGAAACCTCAAGTTTAAGGAATGATTGTATTACATGAAAGAGGCATGTCAATGCATTTTTACTTACCAAAAATTAAAGAAGCATGATCAAATATCTTCAAAGCTAATGTCAGCATTAACTATAATTCCTATTAGCTTCTTAAAGGTAAAAATAAAAAATAAAAAATATTTCAAATTAACCTGCTACGATGCCAAGTATAATAAAAACAAAGCAAAACTGAGCAAAGTTGCCTTTAGTGGGTTCAATTGTTACGGTAGGAAAGGCTTCTACTAACAAATCAAACTGTGACTGTAGAAAATGCATTACTTTTCCATCATTTGTTCTTGTGAATATGGTGTTTGCTTTTAATGTTACTGTAGCGTTTGAGAATGAATTTGCATATGCAGTTTCCAAGGCCTAAGAGTGCTTTCCTGTTGAAAGATGTTAGGAATGATTTCCAGTTTCTGGCCAGCATCTTTAACTCGATTGACATTTAAACAAAATTCATTTCTATATTTTTGAGTTGCGAAACTACATTCATGTACATGTTACATGAATGTTTTCCAAATCAAAACTTGTTGTTCTCTCTTTCTTTTAAAATTTAAAGGCCACGAAGATCTTCAGTTGTCATCTTAGAAGCCTTAACAAGGACTTAGAATGATTTGGTTTTTAAGGAATATCTAAATAGTACAGGATCGTTGTGCTTGTTATTTACTTATATTTATCTGTTATTCAGGTTGTTTTGATCTTGCCTATGCACACAATACATTTAGTCTCACGCAGAGATGAATCATATGGATACTTTTCTCGCCTCTTTCACAGGTCCAACAACAGATAACATCAACGAGTGGATTAAACTTTTTTTGTCCGACTCTTAACTAACAAAGGCAGATAAGACCATGCATAGGGAATTAAACTACTGAGCAGGACAGAAAATGGAGAAGGGAACCTAAAATATAACAACAGTCCTTGAATTTTGTCACTAAAATAGATTTACATTTTTATCACAAAACCAATATCTGGCAAGTGATGTATGCACATGATATTATTAAACGACTAAGATATAAGCAAGAACGTTGAAAGTGGTACCATTTTTTTTATGGGAAGATCGTAAAAGAAGTTTTATGTATTCCCCTGAGAGACTCAGAGTGATTTTGGCGCATTCGACACAACCAAGAAAAGAAGTAACTTCATATTATAAATGGAAAAGCCCTAAAAATGCCACTCAACTTTCAGAAATGGTCTATCCATGCCATCCGTTAAAAAAAATGCTCATTTCATGCCACTGTCGCTACACATTTGGCCCATCCATGCCATTATTGACTAACGGCTCAATTTTTATTTGCCCATCTATGCCACTGCCGTTAGTCAATAATGGCATGGATGGGCCAAATGTGTAACGTCAGTGGCATGAAATGAGCATTTTTTTAACGGATGGCATGGATAAACTATTTTTAAAAGTTGAGTGGCATTTTTAGGCCTTTTCCGTATTATAAAGTACTAGGTTGGTGCAGCCCTTGCCAGCACGGGCCCGTCATTATTTAGCTCCGCGTGTTAGCTAATTGTAAATATAATATAAATTAACGATGTAAGTATGGATCCAGTAGATAATATTTCACACTACAAAAAATTGGAATTATTGCGGCGGTTATTTAACGAAGGTTCGAAGAAAGCGCCGCAATATTTATTATAATACGGCGGCGTTCCAGACGCCATTAATGCATAATTGTTAAACCGGCGTTTTTTTACCATTACGGCGGTTCTAAACCGCCACTAACTAGAAGAAATTATTAATAATTCTTTTCCGCTAATATTTAATGTTACTATTCAGTAACATTATTAAAAATATTAACATTAAATTTAATGATAACGTAAATATCATTCAAATTTCACCTAAAGCTCCCTAAACAGACACACCTTCTCTCTCTAGACTCTACACCGTCTCTCTCGTTCTCTCTAACAGCTTGTTTGGATGGTTGTTCCTCGTTGTATTGCATATATTGTATTGTTATCCCAAAACAATGTTTGTTTTGATTGTTTCATTAAAATTGGTTGTATTGTATTGTTAGATCCATTGTTCCGGAACAATAAAAAGTCCCCTTTTTTGAAACAACCGATTTGGTGTGGTGGGATTGTTTCCTATTTTTCTTTCCAATTATGCCCTAACTTATTACTCTATAATTCTATTTTACCCTTTATCTTTTTTCTATTTTAGCTCCAAATCTCCAACTTATAAGGTACTTTGTTTTTTTCCAGCCCAATGTTAAAGGTGTTTTGTTGCCTCCTGTTTTATTTTTTCTCCTAATTTGCTTGTAACTCAATTCTAATTAGTTGTGCTCCTTTTTTTTATCTTTTTCTGTCTCGCTCCTTTGTTCTGCTTCCTTATTGTGTTTTACCTTCTCCTGTTTTGTTTTTTAAAATTATTTTTATACATAATTTTGATAAATTTAATATTTAAACAATTGAGCGTATTTTAATAAACTTATCCGTTACAGTACAGTAGATACAGCCAAACCAAGCAACAAAATATTATTTAACAATAACAAACAATACAATCTATCCAAATACGGTACAATACGATACAATACAATGCAATACATTATAAAAGGATAGGGAACAATGATCCAAACACAGTGTAAACAAGCGATTCCCCAAATTAAATCACTGTAATATAAGAGGTCTAAGGAGATTACAATGATGTAAGGAGATCAGATTTCAACTCGTTTAAGGTGATGTGTTTGAATTCGCTATAAATAGCCCTTTTCTGATAAATACTCACTTCAATACGTCTCCGGTTTCAAGTCGTTCGTGTAATTCCTTCCAAAATGTCGTTGATTTCACTGATTTAAGGCGTGCATGTGTGTGTATTGGATGGATATCAGTTTAAACCACTGATTTTAGCCGTGAATTTCACTGATTTAGGTTTCGATTTTGCTGTTTTAGCCATTGATTTCATTGAGTTTAGGCGTGCATCTGTGTGTATTGGACGAAGATCAGTTTAAATCACTGATTTTAGCTGTCGATTCACTGTTTTAGCTATCAATTTCTGCTAATAGTTTTTTTTTTCCGTTTATTTTTGTGTCAAGTTTTGTTACTTTTCTGTTCAATTAAGTTTGTGTTTGTTTAAATTTTGACATTTTTAGTTTTTGTTCTGCTAATATTAACCTAAATATCATTTATGGCCTTGATAGGTAGCCAAGGAATCTAAAACAGCTCGTAAAGCAATTGGGATCGACGTCGACAAAATTATATTTGATAGGGATAGCTCTTGTCAGTTAACTTTATCCTTTCTTTTGAGCAGCTATAGTATATTCTGAATTCATAACTGTTGAAAATCAAAGCTTATTGATTCTTTTTTTCCTTGCTACACTTGATTGTCATGAGCTTAGAGGGCAGGGTCGATATGTTAGTGCAGCTGGTCCAGATTACTTACCTCCTGAAGAGTGAGGAAAGCAAATTTAATTAAAATGTTGAGTGAGAACAAAGAAAGTTAGCATTATAAAAACCAGCACTATTTTCACCCTTTTAGCACATAAAAAGGGTCAAATAGCAGGAAATCAGCACTTCTTCCAGAAAGTGTTTGCTGTACACTCTTCCAGAAATTTAATTATGAAACAAGATTTAAAGCCTCAAGAAAATGAACAAACTCCCACTTCACTTGTCCTTTCTTTCTGCTTGCATTTCCCAAAGGTACATAATTCAAGAAATTGCTGAGGGTTTCAGGAGTTTCATCCAGGGAGTTGCATTTCCCTGGATGTTCAACTCCTCGATTTATATTTTAGTATGGTCTTTATTTTGTTGCAGATGAACATCAAGTGATAAAATCTATTAGGTTAAAGGTTCAGGATGTCCATAACTTGGAGAATGAATCGCGCATAATTGTTGAATGTGATGAGTTTGCTCAACCTATTGGAAAATCAGCCGGCATTCTTGCAGGATTTTTGGGGGAGCTTGCTACAAATCCTTGCTACTTTCCAATTGGCTTTGAGAGTTGGGCATTAATGCCTAAACCTTTTGTGCACCGTGTTGTTAATGATTTCGTATTGGTAATGCCTTTTAATTCTTTTGCTTAGTTTGTATGTAATAGTTGTTTTACTTAGATTTTTGTTGGAAAGAGTTGTTGTGTTGTTGATTGGAAATTCTGTCAGCAGTAAACTAACATATATTATTTTTGTCAAGCCTCGGTTTTTCTTTAGGAGTGATCAGCAAAAGGTAAAAGGTTGGCTTAACAATTCGCTTAAAAAAAAGTGGAAGGAATTCAGGCTTAAATTATGGGATGAGGCCAATGATTCATTATTGAGCAAAGAAGATATCATTAAGAATGCTCCAGAAGGCATTCCCATGGACCAATGGGCATTGTATGTTAACTATCGGTCCAAAGAAGAAACAAAGGTTCGTATTCTTCTTCTTCTTCTTATTTCACTGCTTGTCTCTGCTGCTTCTTCTCTGCCACTGCTGTGGCTTCTCTTTTTTTCCCTTCTTCTTCTTCTTCTTCTTGCTCTTCTTTGTTTCACCAAAAGAAGTACATGACTTGTTTTACATAGATACAATAACTGTGCCCAGTTAGATACTGAGAAAGCTAATAGATGGTCTGCTACAAAGGCTGGTGAAGCTCCTAATAGTTCAGTTATCATTTCTTGTTTAGTTCTCTTAAGCTTGCAGCAAAATGAATGCTAGTGTCTTGTTTAGTTCAGTTATCAATTGTCGCTTTCTATATGTAACAGAAATTCTCCTATTTTGACTCGTAGGCGCTTTGCTTGAGAAATCAACGGATTCGAGGACAACAAACACTTCCTCATACTAGTGGTGCTATGAGTCTGGCTAGAAGAAGGGATTTGATGGTAGTTTAATATGACATACTTACTGATACGTTCTGTGTATTAATATATTCTTAATTAACTAAGTTTACTTTTTTAAAATTTCAGAAGAAAATGGGGAAAGAAGTTGATCGAGGCAAAGTGTGGACTGAGACTCATAAGAGGAAAGATGGGAGTTATGTGAATGATCAAGCTAGGGAGATTGGGGTAAGTGTTATTTGGTGCTTTAGTCTTTCATAAGAATATGAGGTCAAAATTCCAATAGACTTAATCCCATTCCAAGAAGAAGAAGAAAATGATGACACAAAAGAACTACCGAATAATGTACGAGCAAGAATTGAATTTGCATATTTGCATTATTCTTGCACATCATGTGTTACTTTTATAATTTTTTTATACTTCCCTTTCTCCATTTTTTTTAACTATAGTTAAATTCCTAAAATCTAATTCGCTTTTGTAATTATATTTTGTCCCTCGTGTAGGAAAGAATTGAAGAAATTCGAAGACAAAGGTCAGAAAATCTGGCAGAAATTTCACCGAATGATGCGCTTGGTGTAATCTTCGGTCCCGAGCACCCTGGTCGTGTTCGAGGCTTAGGCATGGGTGCAGTTCCAACTGTAGTATTCAAGCAAACATCACGCCGAGGTGGTTGTCCTTATATGGGCTCATCTAGCGCTATTGCTCCACCTCCACAATGGGTGCAAGAGATGGCAAATATGAGATCACAATTGAATGCGCTAACCAGCTTATTTCAAATGACAATTGGAAATATCCCCGAGGAGTTTGCTCACTTATTTCCGACTCCTGAACAGGTACAAGTGCTTATTTTTTCTTTGTTTGCCCATTCAATTTGACAATATGTTTAAAGTTAGATTGGAATCTATTATGAGATAATTTTGTTTATTATGAGAAAAGCAGCTGGAAGTTATTATCGGGGGAAATGATATTCTCAGGTATATTTTTCTCCTAATAATGGAATCCGTGAGTTATAAAAAGGTCATGTTATAAGGTCTCTATTTGACCTGATCCTGTTCTCTCTCTGCCTAGTTTAGATCATTGAAAGGTATGAAAACTTGAAAAGTTCTAATAGAGTTGATAGCTTCAGTTTGCAGCCTTGATAATTGGTTGTGTTTGGTTTAAGTGTTCTGCACATTGAGCTGCTGATTTCTGTTGTTTGGGACTAGCACTAGAGTTAACAATAAAACTTCAGTTTGGTTCCAATTTTAACCAAAGTTCAGCTGTTTTGATCAAGTTTTGACAGCATTTTTGCACTGATTTGAAGCTGCAATTTCTGCACTTTTGTTGCATTGTTTGAGCTGATTTTCTTGTAACTTCATCTCATTTGATGCAAATTCTAGCAACTTCAGTTACAATAGACAAGTCAATACTTGTAAAACCCTATATTTTTAGTAAGGATATATTGGTTATTAGCAAATAATAATAATAATAACTAAATAAGAAAAAAAGAAGAGGAAAGCAAATCTATCTATATAGAATAACACAAGCAAATCAATATTAGGCTGCCAAGTGGAACACCCATTAAGCTGCCATATGTAACAAATTAAGACAAGTCTCCAAAAAAGTTGGAGTTTCTTTTTTGCACCTACAAATCAGCTAAATCAGTAAAAAAAGCCAAACAAAGTTAATTTTACAAATTTAAAAAAACATCAATACTCCCATCGTTTCCAATCCTCCCACGATTTTAGCTTTCTGGTATTTCCTCCCCCTTAATTAACGTGATTGTTATTAAAAACAAAGACAACATGTATCCCTACAAATCAGCAAAATAAGAACAGTTAATAATCCACGAAATTGGTTTCAATGATTCCCACGATTTTTGCTTTCCATAACACGATTTTTGCTTTCCATAATTTCTGCCCTTTAATTAAAGTTGCGGTTCTAAAAATCAAGGAAAAGATTCCTCCAGTTTGTAAGTTCCCGTTTTTTACTCCTTAACTACCATCCACAATTTGCAATAACTTTTTTTAACTTTTTAATACTTAAGTTTTTTTTTTAAAAGGAGGAATAATATCAGTTATTCCAACAAAACAGTCGGCATCTCAAAGGCAGAAGTGCATCTCCATTATCCCACGACTGATCGTGGTCTGTAACGTCTTCTTCCAACTCCAAAATCTCAAATTTATATACACATCTATAACTCCATGATTTATGTGCTTTATATTTACAAAACCTTTTCAACTTCATATTTCATCTACTACATTCTGATTGCAATTACTTTGCAAGTATGGCCACACAAATTCATGATATCAAACAAATATCATCCAACTCGATGCAATGGAATCTCAAAGTTAGAGTTGTTCGAATGTGGATAATGCCGGATCGCTTTAACCCGCAAATACCGTTTTCAATTGAATTGGTTTTACAGGATTCTAAGGTAACATATTCAACTTTGTCATAGTTTTAAACTTACTAATGTAGTCGCATTCCATATGAAAATTCTTTCTTCCGTATTACTTAAATAATTCGACTTCCATATCAACAGATGTTTAACTGATCTGGAATCCATTGTGTCATTTCGTTTTTCACTTCGAATGTTGAGTATAACTTTAGAAAGTGATTGTCCTTATATTAACAATCAGGTAAGTTGCATCTTTGTACATAATAACCGATTTATTGTTCAAAATAGCAGAGGAACTGTTCTGCTATTAAAGAAGTATTGTTCAAAATATATAACTTCGGTAAATATTAGCTATTGCTTGCCTTGGTTACACGATCATCGGATGAACTTATAGAAACTATGTTTATATTTTGCAATTTTCAGCTTTGTTTCTGCTCATGTTGCCTTCATAATTGATATACAACAACTGTAGCATTTTGGTTTTTGACATTACATCTTTTAACAACTTTACACATTGATGAAAGTATATACGCCCTTACATTTGTTGGGTTCATAATTGTGCACAAATAATTAATCTGAATTTGCAGGGTGATCGTATACATGCTACAATCGGAAAGTATGTTCTTAAGTTTTTTAGGAACAAGATACATGAACTTCGCTTATATCGTATGAACTACTTTATAGTCGGACCAAATAATTTGAAGTTGAGGACTACGACACACAACTTGAAGTTGACATTTACTCAAAAGACATTTGTCGAGGAAACAAATGATCCTTCATTTCATATGAACATCTTTAACTTGCGCCCTTTTGACCAACTAACAAATCAACATGATGTCGATGAGACAGAATTACTCGGTAATTTATTTTAAAATTTTAAATGAAGTTAAAAATGTTATTTCTCAAAGTATGTCACTAACTTTTATATTTATAGATGTTGTNAGCCATCCATAAGCCCATTCCACTTTATCTGCAGTGAGGGATCTTAAACATGACGACCAGGCCTCAGTACCCTCCGGGAACTCAATACCTATAACTCGGGTCTCGAACTCTACAATACAACTCAACCCGGTTAAGCCGTAGTTCATATATCCTGTGCGGTGACAAAGATGCTCCTGTATCCACAACTGCAAGAGCAAATTGCAACCCTGAAAGAATTTCTCCCCTTCTCGACATTTGGTCAGAGCTCGGTATATTTCCGCTACAATCAGAGGAGCCACCGTGCTAGTAGGTTTCTTCATGGCAACATCTAGCATCCCTACTAGGCCAAGGTCTATGTGACCATCCTTTCTAGGACAAATTACCACTCCCAAGAAGGCCACCATGAAGGCTAATCCCCGTCGGGACTCCCATTTATCTTTGTTGCCAGCATGTGTTAATCCTGTATTGGGTTCCTCAAAACCTTTGGGGTTACCATACCGGTGATATAGGAAATGTAGTGTACAACACCCTTCCGCCAGATGGGGGTCTTGAATATCCCGACTGATGCTCAACAAATCTAAAAACCTGTGAAGAGTTACCGGCCGTGGAGCCAAAGGGTATCTACCACGGAGGTTCCCGTTGAGACCTGCGTATCCGGCGATCTCTTCTAATGTAGGTGTGAGCTCAAAATCTGAAAACCGGAATACATTACGGGTCGGGTCCCAAAATGGTATCAGTGCCTCAATGACATCCTTCCTTGGTCTGATTTTCAATAAATCTACAAGACCGCCAAGGCTTTTAACCACAGTATCCCTGCTTCCTTTTCCCAAGTCATGCCACCACATATGGAGTTTCAAAGGGATCTCGCTCAGGACTGAGAAGGTTTCGATGTCACTTGAATTCATCCTGCACATTATTTAGGGGAACTTAATGATTTATTTCGAAAAATGACTATTTGTGCAAAAATCCTTTATTTAGAAAACAAGGACTTGGATTTGCAAATACGGCCTTTCAGCACTTCTGGAAGGAAGATTTTAAGGCTGTTCCCGCAAACCGTTTGAAAATGACTCAGGTGGCTATTCTTGCAAAAACGGCCTTCCGGCGTCCTTTTGGGGACATTCGGCTTATCTTAAAACAAGAATGGTATCACCCAATTTATTTGACAAAAAATTAAAATTTTGGTATTTTTGGCTATTTTTTGCAAAAGGGAGGTTGGACCCGATGAGGGTTGCCTACGTATCTCACATCCGGTGAGAATCAAACCGGCGTAGTTCGGGCAGATTTGCCAAAATCAAAGCTATTTTGAACAACAATTTTCTTTTCTATGTTTTCAAATATTTTTCTTTTCTATTTTTAAAAATCCGGCAGCATTTCGGTATTATTTGGGCATTTGGTTTTTCACAACAAATGGTCACCCTCACTTAGTCCTAACACTGCTTATTTCCTCAATTTTCACTTATTTAGACAAGCCAATCAACATGCAGAACCGAGCAAATAAATGCGCAAGTAGCACGTAAGATGCATCAGGATGGTCAATTCATTTCAGGTCATCTGTCCTAGACGGACCCAACCCCTGTGTTGAGTCCCCTAAGTCAAATGCACATGATGCACACAAACGTCCTACTAGGGATCCGACATGAGTTTTTGTTCTTCTAGGTTTAACCCTAGGTTTATTGGTCTAGACATGGCTTACCCGAGCGGACAACTCGAGCCGAGGGGGAGGCAGCGTACCGGGGATACAGAAGCTCCGCCGGCTTAGCAACTTATCCAACCTCGTTCTAAATGGGAAAAGACTCTAAACAGAAGAGAAGCTACACGAAGTGCACCCTTCTCCATGATGTAGAAGACTCAGAAAGAGGAAGGGATTCGCGACAATTTATATATACAGTTTCAACAAATATCAAAGCGGTAAAACATTTAGCACATATAGCATGGAACATGTAGAAAAAATCAGATAAAGCCAAATATAATAATTGTACTAAGCTCGAATTCTTTAACCCTGAACCAGAGATTCTGGGTTCGTTCCCCAGCAGAGTCGCCAGAGCTGTCACACCTCCTTTTTTACACATCTACCCCGAAGGATAATGTATAAGGGAGTTTTTCCATTTAAAGTGACATTATTCGAAATGGGATTATTTATTTATTTTTAGAGTCGCCACTTGGGATAGGATTGGCTTTTGGTGTCCCAAGTCACCGATTTAATATAAATCCCAAATCGAGGAAAATTTCGACTTCCCAATTGGAGTCTGCGAACCAGAAATTCTGTGTAAGGAATTCTGTTGACCCGAAGGAAGGCGTTAGGCACCCTCGGATCCCGTGGTTCTAGCACGGTCGCTTAAATTATTATAAATGGCTAAAAATCTGGTTTTTGCAATTTTTAAGATTATTTACCGCTTTTAGTTATTTTTACGAAAGTGAACGCCGTTTAAGAGCGTGTTTTCGGATCACGTCACATGAAATGCACCCGGATCCGTGACACCTCTTATTCAACGTTTTGGGATTTGGATTTGGGTTGCATGAAATGCACACCCGAGTTTAGGAAAGTAATATTATTAAAATTCGCGCCTAAAGTGACTAGCGTATTATTATCTTTGCA